TTTTCAGAGCCTCCAGGTTTTTCTTTGTTTCTGGGGCTTGTGTGATACAGTGTTGTACTCCACATTATGAGAGTATCCTCATTCTCTACCATTTCTCTTATAATGTGAATAGAGATTGAGTGCTTGTATTAAGCAGAAGTATTGGGTGATGTATACACTGAAGATTTCTGTATGAAATGTGGGCATGATAAAAGCCCGAGTGGTGTAAAACTAAAGGATGTAAGGCGTGAAGGAGAATTCCAGACAAACAGTCAATGTTTCAAAATGTCTTCGTAAGTAACTTGTTAGGATGTAAACATTCATTTGGGGTGTAAAATGTTCTGAATGCTTTCTGAATTCTAGAGAAGCCTACTTAGAATGGTTCACAGTGTTGGTGATAGGAACCAGACATCTGAAACATTTAATGCCTCCGAAACCTACAGCACAATGTTATTACAGTCATTTTTACATACAGTTTTGGCCTGAAATGCATTCACATTCACACACTCAGTGTTGTAAGGCATCTTTATTATTTTCAGATCACTGGTTCCCTGTGTCATTTTGGATAGTATATTAAATGCCTATGTTAGTGTTTACACATTGGGATTCCCTGGTTCCTTTCACCACCATTGTAAAGAAATTTGAGTTGGTAAGTTTCTCTACAATGAACCGTTTCACATCAAACCACTCGGACTTTCTTTGCATATCAACCATTGAGTTATGCAGAAATTTTGAAAAAATGTACGGGATTTTCCTTTAGGGGCCAGTGATGATGGGTGTGGATGCAAAATGTGTCTGAACTTGTTTAATTAAAGGGCAATTATTGCTCCCTGGATATGATTTTCAGGAGCAACTTGTACCTTTTTGAGGACATTTCCTAACCTTATTAAGAAAGCCTACTATCTACTGAGACTGCAACAGATATTGATACAGGTATTCGTTCATATAGAGTCATTCCTTGTCATTACATTTTAAATTTAAAAAGATTTTTTTATGCTTTCAGAAGTTTGGTCTTGAGCTCTTGTTCATTTCTGATGCTGGTCTTTTACTAAGTATCCACAGTAGCCCATATGCAAATATGCAAACTATGTTGGGCCCTACTTTGTATGTGTGCACTGATACTCTGTAAAAAGGCTTCTCTTTAGCCTTATTGCTGCTTTGCATACTTTAATGATTGCACACAGAATTTAATTAGTAGTAAAATCTTTTAGTCATGAAATATGGAGGACTAGTTACAGTTTAACAGCTGTAACGTTTTAACAGAGAGATTACAGCCACAAATGGAGCAGCGCAGTATTTGTTGCCAAAGAGATAACTTTTACTTTTACCCTGAGGGAAGTTGTAGCTGATGAGCCAAGAGAGGGGACATCATACAGTCTTTTAAGCCCAAAATAGCCCCTCTTATCTCATAGTCTTTAGGTAGTGAACCTCTAGAAAACCAAAAGGTAGACAGTAGCTATGCCAAGCATGCTTTTGGAATTCAGGTGTTGAATAGTAGATGAGATCTGGACAGATTGCCACATACTTGCTGGTCCATGAGGAGTGTCTGTGTACACATGCATGCACACATTAAAGCTGTAGTGTGAGTAGAAGGAGCGCTTGTCCTCTGGGGGCTGTTCCCTGGGAAACAGGCCCTTGTGATGGTGGAGTAGCCTATTTGGTTGCCGCTGGGTTGTGTACGTATGTATGCATGTGTGGCAGTGTTTCATTCCTAACCTGAATTGTGGGTCAAGGCTCCTGACTGCTGAATGAGACTTCTAAGAATTCCAGTCTTTTTATGGCTCAGTGAGTTTAAATGAGCTGCATTGACTCTAAGGGTGGAATTTATTCCCATTATCGCTCGATAAGACCTACATTTTCCTGGTTTGAACCAATGACTCATGTCCAATCTAGCGGGGCTATTGTCCATTCTTGTTTTACCTGGTGGGCTCTGATTTGAGCCGTTCAGGGCAGGGTGCATGACCTTCATAGGTTTGCACTTGAGAACTGAACCTGGAAGTTCTTTTCTCGCACCTTTGGGAATTTCAGGTTGTGGTTTCAGGCTGTAGAGGAGTCATCCTTGGTTAGTACTGCAGGTTAAATCTACCTCATAATTCCATTTCCTCAGGTAGGGCTGGGCAATATGATGATATGTTATCATTATCGTGATAAAATTATGTTATGATACACTTTTCTGTGTATTTCATAGGTGTTGTCAGCACTTATAAAATACTGAAGAATGGCATGTATCATAAAATGACACGTTTAGACCAATTATAGACAGACTGTAAACAACAACAAACTGCATACATGGCATAGTAATGAGTTGACTGTCAGCTCATTATGCCATTTTTAGCTATTTTACCAATTGTTAGATTTGTCCTCTTGTTTCTTTAAAGTGTATTGTATACAAATGAGTAACAAAGTAAAGGAAAAACTGACATATAGTGTCCTGGGAAGGTGTTGGGCTACCACAAGCTGTCAGAGCTTCAATATGCCTTGACATGGATCCTAAAAGTCTCTGGAACTCTTCTAGAGGGATGGAACACTATTCTTCCAAAATAGTTTTGGAATGTTTATACTCATCAAACCATTCGATGACCCCTCTTGCCTGTGGATGTGGCATTGTCATTCTGGAAGAGAGGACAGAAATGTTTTATCATAGGATGAGGTGATCAGTCAGATTTGCAATGCCCCTTTTCCTCTAAGGGGACAAGTGAACCCAACCCATGCCAACAAAATGGCTTCCCACAGCATAACAGAGCCACCAGACCCCCTCACTATAGACTTTTTTGTCTCTCTACTTGTGAATGATGGCTCATCTGACCATATTACTTTTTTCCACGTCTGTAAACTAGTGCTGATGGTTTTCGTATCACTGTACTCTCAAATGTACGTTCATCTTTGTAATGAGGGGTTTATGCATTGCAACCCTACTATAATATCCCTCTCTATGTAGTCGTGAACACTTTGCAGGCACAGTCGTATCACATCCTACATTGACATTCTCAGTCATCTGAGGAACAGCTGCTCTTCTGTGTTTCTTTACATATCACATCAATGTGCTCAAACTCCAGCTGCTGTGCTGTGTCTGATCTACTCATACCAGTGCAGCACACACTAACACACCACCACCATGTCATGCAAAGTAGCTCTCGGGGGATGCCATGCTCCCAGTTTAGAAAGAGACTACTATTGTTGCTGTTGTTGCTGATGTTGATGTTAATATCAGTGTAGTTGTGTTGCTTGGTGTAAATTGTGTCTGAAGAGGGTGGACTTTAAGTAGTGTTCCCACGAAGTTGGAAGCTTGCAATGTCTAAAATGTCTTGATATGCTGAAGTATTAAGATTTCCCTTTACTGGAACTAAGGTTTCCAGGCCAACCCTTGAAAAACGACCCCATAGCATTATCCCTCCTCCACCAAACTTTACAGCTGGCACAGTGCAGTCAGGCAGGTAATGTTCTACCTGGCATTCACCCAACCCAGACTCTGTCAGATATATATATATATATATATATATATATATACTACATATACACACACATATATATAGATGTAAAGTCGGAGATGATAGCTCATCTGCTGCTGCACAGTTTGTGTTGGTCATCCTCTAGCCCTTCGTCTGTGGTCACAGGACGCTGCCCACAGGATGCTGGTGACTGGATATTTTTGGTTGGTGGACTATTCTCAGTCCAGCAGTGACACTGAGGTGTTTAAAAACTCCAACAGCACTGCTGTGTCTGATCCACTCTGACCAGCACAGCACACACTAACACACCACCACCACGTCAGTGTTACTGCAGTGCTGAGAATGATCCACCACCCAAACAGTACCTGCTCTGTGAGGGTCCATGGTGGTCCTGACCACTGAAGAACAGGGTAAAAGGGGGCTAACAAAATATGCAGAGAAACAGATAGACTATAGTCTGTAACTGTCCATAAAATGGACAATAAGGTGGCCATAATGTTATGCCTTTTATATATAAAATCATTGAGAGTGCTCTAACCTGGTGTGTGGTGGTTTCTATGGTGTATCGTAAGTGGTACACTGGGTGACTTTTTCACAGGAGGCTGGGTGGAGCAGACTCTCTTTAGGGCCCTGAACTGCACTGTATTCTATCTCTTTTTCTTGACATCTGAGAGAGAAGGATCTATTTATCTCATTCAGTCTCTCTCTCTCCTCACCTCTCTTTTTCTTGCTCTGTCTCTCTCTCCTCTTCTCTCTGTTTTTCTATGTCTCATCCTCTTTTTCTTTTTCACATTCAGCCTGGTTGTTTGCTCAGCAAGAGGTTGAAGAGAGGTGTGTGTGTGTGTGCGTGTACTTGAGAACAGATGGCAGCTGGTTGGCCTGGCCAAGGCAAGGTAATTACTGTGCACTGGGTTACTTAACTCTTTAGAGTAGTCTGTTGTGTTTTTTCCCCCTCTCTGCGTCTCTCACTTTCTCTGTCTCTCTAAGCCTTTCTCGGGAGGGATTTGCTCATAAAGGAGTGCTTTTTGGCCATGGAAAATGAACAGACACATGGAGAGGGAGCCCAGTGCTTCAGAGCATAGTTTTCCACACGTTGTGTTTTTAGTCTACTTCATCTGCTGGACTGTCTGTATTTTCAGTTTAAACCTCATAGATCTGTTTGGGTCTCACTTCCAACAGGAAACCTACCTAAATTATAGCTCTTCTTTTGAAGAATTATGCAAAATCATCTTGGACTAGTTTAGTTTGTATGATCATGTGGAGCAATAGTCTCAAAAGTGCCTAAAACCCAGCATTTTGTTCTGCCTCAAAGAGTAAACGAATTGAAGGATCATTTCCTGATGAGTTCCTGAAGTGTTAGTCATTTGTCATGTTGTGATATTAGTGGCTGTGCTGTGTTTCCATGAAGCTGAGTTGGAAAACAGATGTAAGGCAGCTCCTAGGAGGATTCCTCTGGCCTCTGCGTGAGCTGGAGGAGGTGTGACCTTTTACTTTCCTGACCCCGTATGTGGGGGCTGCATTATCATGAATCAGAATGTAACGTGTGATCTACGTGTTGCTTTTTAAATGCAGATTTCTTACCATGGCAGTGAGGAGGGTGGAGAGAGTGAGGATTCTGAAGGGGAAAACCAAGAGCTGGCACAGATTGATAGAGGTGAGTATTTGTGTGTCTGTGTGTGTGTTTGTGTGCCTAGGGCTGAATGATTTGGGGAAAGTATCTAATTGCAGTTTCCCAGACTAATATTGTGACTGTGATATATATATATATATATATATATATATTGTTTTTATATTAATCCCAGGCCAACCAAGAATACCAGAATATCCCATTTTTCCTAGTCTGGAACACAGAGCAACAGAACTGCCATAGTTGTTATTGTGTTGTTGCAGCACATGGATACCTGGTTACTTTTAATTGGTCTAACTCATTTACATGCTGTTTATAATCTATTATTTCGTTAAATTTACCCACTTAAAACTTGATAATATAGTCTATATATAAAACTGTAGGTCTTGCAATTTCAATAAAAAAACATTCACAAGTGCCTAAAACCCAGCATTTTGTTCTGTCCTACATTTTCCTGCGTTTGTTTTCATAACATTATTTCTTAAATACAGTCATAAAGTGGTTAATCTTTTTTGGCTTCTCTTTTCCTCATAATCCTGGCTCAACACTGAGCCGAAGTTTGCGCAAGTATAATGATTCACTAAACTGTGTGGCCTCCAAACATATTAAGAATTAGCCTTACTTTGAACTGAGCTGTAATGCTAGACTGTGTGTCATTATTGACTCAGTCATTATGGCGTTACACCATTCTTGGGCTTCCCTTTATGGCCAAAAGTCTTACCACAGTATATTTTTTCCACAGCTTTTAATATTGATTAAGAATTATAAATCATTATTATATGCATTTCCTAATACTTAATTATAAGTCTGTGCTTTGAACCTTGAAGAAAACAAAAACTTATTCTGGTTGTTCTGCTTTATGTCTAATTTAGGAAAACAAACCCATTTCATGTTGCAGGATCTTTTTTTAGATATCCAGAAAACTGTCACACTGGTTGATGGTGTTATGAGTGAATGGCTAGACTTATCCCTCCAGGTCTATTGAGTAAATGTCTAATAAAACTTGGTGTTCCAAACTATTGAAATATTGATTGTTCAAAGTTCAAGCCTTAGCTGCTGATTATGGGTTGAGGAACAGAATGGCATTTTATGGAAAGCACCCCAGTTATTGTAATAACCTGAAATACTGTAGCCGTACAGCCTCTTTATTATCATTGCCCTCCTTACCTAGATCTACATCACTCCATAGTTAAAAGTAACCAGGCACTAAAAGCACTTTGAACTGACCATGTCTTTGTCCCTCAGAGCGCAGGAGAAACTGTGTTTTGACCCCTCTGGCCACGAGCCAACAGCACAACCAGGGTCTGCTGTCCCCGGCCCACCTCCGGCGCTTGAGGCTGCTGCTGGAGCCAGCAATGGACCGTCACAGTTCAGAAGAGGAGCTGGAGCGCATCGCAGGGGCCACGGGATCCGAGGGCAGCCGCAAGTGGCCCCGACATGGCGAGCTCAGCAGCGCTTCCAGTGACGAGGAGGTGAAAGGTACTGTGTCTGTTGAGTATGTATCTTCACTGTCTTAAGACAACCTTGAATCTCCAAAACTGTACATTTAGTGAAGAAGTACAACAATTCTTAACATTTGTTAGTGTAATGAGATTCAATTTAATGAGATTAGTGTAATTTAATTCTAAGTAGTTTGGGACGATTTCTATTTGGCCAGATGTGCACACAACTTAAATAGAGCGTGTACACTGAAATTTTCTGAAAAATGTCATTTATATGTTCCCTCTAGAGGATGTGTCATCTTATTTCCACTTAGTGATTTGACTGGGGGTTCAAACTACTGGAAATTTGAGAGTGAGGATTTGAAGTGTGGGTCCAGGGCTTTAATTGGTTAAATGCTTTAAGGGCTTAATATTCAAGTGTTGACATTTCTTCAAATTTCCATTTTATGTGAGCTCAGTGGACAGTAAAGTACTCTGACTGTGATTCTGATAGACCTGTGTGAGCCGGGTTCCGGAGCCCGTCTGAGTGCCACTTCGCCCAGCCCGGTTCTCTTCAGCTCTTCTCCGCCCAGAGGCCTCAAACCCCCACCCACCATCACCACTGCCCGCCTCCCCTCCAGGCCCATCATCCTCAGTCATTTCGAGCAGCCCGCCATGCCCTACTGGAGGCATCGGCCATCCTACACAGGGGAGCCTGGCCGGCCCAGCCTGGACCTGGAAAAGATGCAACAGGTTTGGATTCAGTATTCTGTTTCCTGGTTGGAATACGAGTTTCGAAAGCAGCCTGTTTTCATAGCAGTATTATTTATATATTAGTTTCATGATAGTTTTATTAATAACTGCATTAATAACTCAAGATCAAATAACTGGTTAATAAAGCTGGGGTCCAAGGTGCTAACCCATTAATGTAGACGTTAGATCGCTGGTAACTCATGACCCCATTCTCTTCAAATTGGACAAGATATGTGACATATGTAAAATATTAAAATATAACAAATCATAACTAAATGTATTTTTCCTTAATATCAATAAAATAACCATTTAAATTAAAATTAATAGAGTCAGAGTTTTCAACTCAGTTTTCCCTCGAAATGTGCCAGGCTGTTTTTTGTTACTGTTTATCGCTGTCAGATCAAAACCTTACGTATAGATTTTTCATTCCACGCAGTTTATTTCAGACTATTTCTGTTGAACCACTCAGTGTAAAATTTCCCCACAATATAAAGAACAGCTAGTATTTTTGACAAAATCGACAAAAATTGAGACAGCGTTAATATGTAAATGAACCCTGTTCTGATTGGCTGCTCTGTACCCTATTAAGAAGCAGCCCTGACTGAAACACTCCTTATAACGTCAGTGCAAATGGGCGGAGGTAGATATATGTACCTGCACTGGTACATAGTCACTAAGTCTTTTTACAGCTTAATTTCTGTATATGGACTTTATGGACTGGGAAATGAATGTTGCATTTTTAAAACTTCAATAATGTTTACATATTACATCAATCTCTTTTATATAAAAGAGTTTTCCATCCATATAGTGAGTCTCGTTAACATTAACTGAATTGAACAACTAGCAAAACACTCACACATTCAAGGGCTAAAGTTACTTAACTAAGAGTGAAAGCTAGCATGCCTCAATGAGAATAATAATAATAATAATAATTTAATAATATGACATACAAATACATCATTTTCTGATCCAATTACTCTATAAATGTCACCTAGATCAGACATATTCACATCAGCTCCAACTCAGGCCTTTGTGGCTGTGTTTTATTTTCCTTTTTCAGTGGAAGCCAGTGCATAATATAGACCGACTGCTGGAATGACATCAAAAGCCTTTGTTGAAACTGGCAACTGAAGTGATGAATAGGAAAGAGTGTTCACTTCATTTAGTCAGGTTATTGATTTTTACATTAGTGAAGATTTTGGTTGGGGATTTATGTTCTTATTGCAGTTCATGCACATCCATCACTTTTTCCCCTGCTGTTCATTAGACTGCAGCATATTCAGTGAAAAACACTTATGATGGTTCAGAGCTCCATTCTTTGTTTCCTGGGTGGCCAGACATGAAAAGACTGTCAAAAACACACACATACACACGCATAAGGCCCTTGTGCCAGCCAAAAGGAGGAATGGAGAGAGAGGAACGGATGACAGATGTCGCTTCACCCCTCCCAGCCCTCTTTGTCTCTCTGAGAGGCCAAGCTAAACCGTGTACGCGCCCATTCATGTGTGTGTTTGTGGAAAGGAGAGGAAAAATGACTGAGACAGGAGGAGACTGACCAAGCAGCCAAAATCCATGTTTAATATTAGTTTGGACAAGAGCTGTTGTCCTGGGATGGAGAGTGGGCTGTATGGAGAATGTTGAGAAAGAAAGAGAAAAATAGAGACAGAGAGGGAGGTAGGAATAGAGAGTGGCATCTTACTGAGGGCCTCCATATGTCTCCAGGATTCTGTGGCGAGGGCAGATTATGAGAGGCAGCGGGGCAGTGAGCAAACGCTCGCTCAAGTGGAATGGGAGGTGTTGGATGGAAAACAATATGGGCCTGGCTGAAGTGCCTGCCAAAAGCTCTTCTTGCTTTAACCCTTTCAATTCAAAGTCTAGTTGGGGTTTTAGTTTTTATCCACTTCTTTTTTTTCCACATACTCTTTCAACTTGGTCAGTTTGCTGCAACATTAGGTTGTATCCAGAGGTGGGTAGTAACTAATTACATTAACTGAGTAACATGTACACAACTGAATTTTTTTAAAAATTTGTACATTGCTGAGTATTTTTGAATGATAATAATATAACATTCTACTTCACAATCATCGGATTTTGGCTGATGATTAATTGCCATGTAAATGATTGTGATTAACAATTTAATATGTTCTTTTTTGTTCACTGAATGCCACTTTAAAGTGCAGGCTTAAGGTGGTCAAATTAGCTGATGAATGATGCTGCTTCTTAGCTGGCCATACTTAGTAGCCCCCCAAACGCAACAAAAACATCTCGAGCTCAGATAAACAAACATTACTTACAACTGCACTCTAAACATGTTATAGGAGCAGTCAGAGGTTAGAACTTTTGAAGTTATTTTATATAATAGCCAATAATATAGCTCAATAAATATGTCTTCTGCTTTCTTAAATGGTCTTAAAAATAGTTAATAAATCTAACATTTCTCTTGTCGAGACTGTTGTAACCTTAATTTAAGATCATTTACCTTATTTCTAGATATTTTTTACTTGTTTTAAAGTCATTTTATTAAGTAAAATGATCTCATTATATTGGCAGATAATTCTGCTTGTTTTAAAAAATGTGCTTGAAACCAGCAAAATTATCTGCCAGTATAGTGAGATCATTTTACTTAAAGAAAATGACCTAAAACAAGTGAAAAATGTCTAGAAATAAGATAGATAATCTTATAATATGTGCACAATCATCTAAAAATGGGAAATATTTGATTGATCAACTAGATTTAAGATCATTTCACTTGACAGGATACCATTTTTTTGCAGTGCACGTATTTCCTTCAACCCAAACTTATAAAAGCGCGCCAGCTTTCACATTCTGCTTGTTGTGATGTGAGTGCATCAAAAATGGAAGAATAGAGCCTAGTAAACTTCCTATGATGGATGTTGGACGTACTAAGACGTTCTGTTGCAGCTCTAGAAATTACCCAATACTTAAAGGGCCCACACCACTGTGTAGTATCTATCCTCAGACCAGAAGCAATAACTCTATTGCAAAACACTGCAGGTTTGCTTTTTCAATTTATTATTTCACTGTTTCACTATATGACGGAACAGCTGTTGTTTATTAGGATAATGACCCGCATTTGGGCAACGGTCATATGAGGCCTTCCAATTTCCCTTTATTACAGTAATCCATATAGACTAATCCAGAGCCATATGCAGTTGCTCATATGCAGTACACGGGGGTCTGGTTATTGTTTGGCCTCCATGAATGGCTTGGATGACAGATGTCGAAACCAGACTTGGATAGCTGGGTGGGCATTTGAACTGTCTGTAGAGATCTTTGCAGTGAAAAGCAAACTTTTCATTTCTTTTTCCTTTTCTGATTTAATGGTTTCATGACTTATACAGTCATTATTTAGTCACCAACTACTCTCTTCTATTACAGCAACACAGGCTAGTGTCCTATATAGTATATATCAGCTGATAATGACGCCCCTTGTTTTTAGCATCGTTGGCAAAAATATCACTGATAATGCATATTGATATTGATAATTAGCAATACATTCTGAACTAGTAATCTGAACACAGAATAGCCCCATAGTTCAAAAAACAAAACATATAAAATGCATCCTGATATTTACTATGAGAATAACATGTTAGGACACAAAAAACTATAACTATAAAGAGAACTGATGAAAAATAACACAATAACACAAATAAGAAGTTATTAACTGAAAATTAAAAACAGGAAGAATTCTGGGAAGCCCCGCCCTGTGGGGGACAAAACACCATCAATGTCAAAATAACAAAATGTAAAATGCATCCAAGCTGAACCTTTTGCATGAAGATAGCATAACACACACACACACACACACACCAAAAAAAGATCATATGAAAGTACTGATGAAAAATAAGAAAAATTAGAGATACCAAAAAAACAAAGTTGCTAAGAATACTACAGTATTTATTATTTTAAGATTAGATTAAGATTAAGTGACCCTTATTAGTCCCACCTCCGCATTCTAACCCATCTGTGCAGTAAAACACCATATACACAGTAGTGAACATACACACTAGGGGCAGTGAGCACACTTTCCTGGAGCGGTGGGCAGCCCTATCCTCAGTGCCCGGGCAGCAGTTGGGGGTTAGGTGCCTTGCTCAAGGGCATTTCAGTCACATATTGTTGGCTCAGGGGATTAAACCAGCGACTTCCCAGTCACAGGGCTGGTTCCCTAACCTCCAGCCCATGACAGCCCCAAAATGCTTAGTTCTTGCCATGGTGTCGTAGTCTGCTTTTCTCGGGAAAAGAAAGAGAATCTTTCTTTGAGTTTCTGATGTTTATTTAAATTAGACAGTTGAGAACTGACAGTCATATTAATCAATAGAGCATATTTGACTAAAACTTTTGGAGAGGTTTCATTTTTGGCCATAAATATGATATCATTTCAAAACACTTCAGTCAGGCTCTGATGTGCAGTCCAAGTCAAAACACTGATGTCCACAATGGCTGGTGTGAGAGAATAGTGGACTGTCAACATGGCAGTGAAAGACTTAGACCTATCAGTTTCAATATGTCTGTATTGGTTTTGTGTTCCAGAAAATGCTCCTAAAAAAGAACTGCGGTGGGAAAACAAGGACTATAAAGATCCGGGTGAGTGTGCCCCTGAAGCATGAACATGTTCACTTCACTCATACATACAAACTACTTTGGCTGCAGACTTCTAATAATATTAAGTTAGGAATGATTTTCCAGTCTAATAACATACAGTCATATGACATCATGCTGTTCAGACTGTTCAGTCTCCCATCACAGCAGGCCAGAAAGTAACTGGAAGTGTTTATGTTGCATTTCATGAGGCAATTTAATCTCTTTTAAACTCAGAAAATCAAAACAGATGTATCTTGGTTGAAAAATGTTTGATTGTAGTCTTTTATTTATTTTTTTGTAAATGGCTCTTAGTGATTAATGTGGTTATTTGTAAAACAGCACTGAGTTGGAGTTGTTAGCCGAGTACTGAAGTCAGAACACACTCGCTGACCCTGAGAACTGTGGTGGAGGAAACAGTGTTTCTCTAGCACAGCCAGCACTAGTACAGAAGGGGGGAGCTGGGTGTTGATGGTGTGTGACGTCACTGTCAGCCTGGCACTTCAGCCAGCTCCTCCTGCTGCCCACCAAGCATGGCACAGGAATAAGTGCACACATGGGTGACCGGGAGGCTGCAGATCAGGTTGCTGGAGGCAGAGGGATGAGTCAGAAACACACACACACACACACACACACACACACACACACACACACACACACACACACACAAAGTAGGTTTGTTTTTATACATTATCAGGATGTGGGATCATACATACAGTACTGTGCGAAAGTCAGATATCACCCTTCAGTTGTTTCATTTACAATCAAAATGGCCATTAAGTACATGTTATTTATTTTTCAGTAGATATTTCTGTGCAGATTAGATTAGTTAATCCACTTGCAAAAGGAAGGGGAAAATCAAAGGGTCATATAAACGGTATGTTACTGTAATAAATACATCACAATACATTTTCCAAGCATATCCTGGACATCATCAGTGTTTAAAGAACTCTGAACAACTGCATGTTTCATTAAAAAGTATAATTAGTCCTATTTAATTAGATATATTGCAGCATACTAGGCAAATCATAATTTTAATCGTGTTTTTATAAAGCTGTTTTAAAATATGTACTTAAGGAAGTACTGGTGAATTGTGTCAGTTCCAACTTAGAAAGGCTCAGAGAATCAAATTATTGTGATAGATATTGTGTATTGTGTAAATGTCTCCCAACCCTACTTAAATCCTTGAGAGAGAGGAGAAAATCAAGCTGCTTCAGATCTGAAAAAATCCACAGGTGTTTCGGTCCATGCTTCCACTGTGAGAAGACAACTCAGTGCTAAGGGTCTGAAAGGATATGTTCCGGATCTGTCTTCTAAGGAGCAGCAGACACCCCAGTCCAGACCTCAACATGACTGAATGTGTGTGGAAATACTTGGATTGTGAGGACACCAAAATCTAAGACTGAACTTTGGAGATGTAAAAAAAAATAAAAAATCTCTCCAGATTTCTTTGAAAAACTGAAAGCAAGTCTCCCGAAAAGAATGGACACAATAAAGGCAAAAGATAGAAACGCCAAGTACTGATAGACTCAATATTAAATGTATATTATTTATTTTTGGAGGCTTTTGCGTTATTTCCAGTTCCAGTCTTTATTCCTGAAGATTACACATAAATAACTTGTATTTAATGGCCTTTTTAAAATATTATTATTATTATTATTATTATTATTATTATTATTATTATTATTATATTATTTTTCTTTCCCAATTTAGTCATATCCAATTCCACCCACTAGGTAGGATTCCCCCAATCACATGACTCCACCAGCACTAGGAGGGTGAAGCCAAACACAGGCTTCCTCCAAGTCATGTGAAGCCAGCCATCACATCTTTTCAAACTGCTGCTAACACAACCTCATTGGACAGCTGAACGCACTTGGAGGAGAACACTAACTGTAAGTTCGGTTATGCCAGCCAAAAGACACCTGCGCTGGCTAGCATCGTGCTGAGTGATGGGGAGAGGGAGGGTCATGCTACCCACCCAGAGAGAGCGAGGCCCATCTTGGACTCCCAGCCACGGATAAATAAATTGTACTTAATGGCACTTTCAATGGAAATTAAATAAATGAAGGGTGATATCCACATTTTGCTGTACTGCTGAACCTTAATGTCAGTAACCAATCTTGGTAATCTTGTTTTTAGTTTTACTTAAGTCTTGAGTCTTAAAACGTGGATTTTTTTTTTTTTATGCACTTTACCCTGTTGAACCTAAAACCCCAGTTGACCCTACTTCTTCTCTGGTCAGGACATTTTTATCATGAAAGCACACACACACACACACACACAAACACACACACACACTTTTTATCTGAATCACAAACACGCTTTTGTCAACAAGGGCCAAATAAACAGCCTCTCCCATTTTGACAATGCTGTTATTACTATAATGAAGGACTCAGCCCTTCCTTTGAATGTCTGCATTTCCACTTTGAGTTCCTCTGAACTCACAGCCATTATATGTTCTGTTAATCAGCTTAAAACATAATTGTTGTGTAATAGCCTTTCTCCCCTGAACATCCAAGAACCTCCATTTCATCTGCAAGGGATTGAATGTCCTCTTTATTCGATTAAGGTGAAGAGGAGAAGAGGAACGAGTGATGGAGGGAGCCCTAGTGTGTGCGTGGATGTGTATGTGTGTTGGGATGAAGTCATTTTCCATTTATAGAGTGCCTGCTGTTGCAGGTTCTGTGATCTATATTCATGGAGAGAAACATGGAGAGATAGATGTTCATTATCCTTCTTTCCTGCCTTGTAGTTTTCTGTCAACTCTCCTTATATCTTCACTGTTCTCTTTGTGTTCCTGCATCCAGTCGTATACTGATCTTATACTGAAAACCATAGAGTTCTTTTTTATAAAGACGGTGGACAAAGTTCTCTCATTTTAGTCCCATCCCATCTGTCTGTTAGCTCCAGCCTCACTCACTGTTAACCAGCCTTGTTCATATTGCATCCCCCGACCTCTTTACATGCTGAAGATGGGCCCCTCGCTCCTACTCTCTCCTCTATCGTTTAGTATCTCTCTTTTTTCCTGGCTGTGCTCCAGGTGAAACTTGGAGGAGGGGGGTGTAGTTACCAGGGGGCCCGTTAGAGGAGCGATTGTCATGGGGGCAGAGAGAGAGAGAGAGTGTAGTGGGAGTTGTGAGGTTGAGGGCTGAGGATCAAGAGGGAGATGAAGAAAGGAAAGGAGGGAGGGAGGAAAAGAGGAGTCATCAGTGGCTGAAACCAGAGCAGACAAACAATCTTTCCTCTCAGTACTCAGGCTGGATCCAGGCTTGTTGTCAAAGCAGATGTGAAGGTGGAGAAGTTAGCATGTTCCCATGGACAAAACTATAGAATCGGATGTTGTTGCAAAGGTATCTTCTGTGGTTTGTGTCGCATATCACTGGGGAAAGAGGTACTGTAGCTAGATTACCATTGACTAGAGGACATTTTGAATGCTCACTTATTTATACGAACATGTGCTGAATGAGATTTTCGGAAGTAGTTGCTGGTTTGTTCACTGAACAACTACAATCCAATCTTTTGTCAATGCAGCAAAACTTTCAGAATGTCCAATTTGTGTGTTTCTATATGGTGTCCAAACCAGATCTGAGGTTACATTCACATTACCAGGTTGAAGTGGCACAAATCTTATTTTTTTGCCTTTAAATGACACAAATCTGGGAGAAAATACACATAAATAACCTGTACTGAATGACAAAAAATAACGAAACAAATGAAGAATGAAAATATATATATATATATATATATTATATATATATATATATATATATATACCCAGAAGGATAAGCGGTTTAGATGATGTATGTATGTGTGTATATATATATATATATATATATATATATATATATATATATATATATATATATATATATAATTTTTCTCCCAATTTAGTCATTTCCAATTTTACCCACTAGTTAGGACTCCCCCAGTCACATGATACCACCAGCGCTATGAGGGTGAAGCCAAACACAGGCTTCCTCTTAGTCACGTGAAGCCAGCCATTGTGTCTTTTCGAATTGCAACGTCTTTGGACAGCTGAACGTGCTTGGAGGAGAGCACTAACTGCTAGTTCTGTTACATCAGCTAGAGAGAGGGAGGCCAATCGTGCTCTCTTGGACTCCCGGCCACAGAGAACTAGTGGCCATTTTATCTGGAAATGAAATAAATGTCAGGTGGTCTCTGACTTTTGCTGTAGTCTGACTTTGTGTTTTTAGTGACACAAATCATTTTTTTTTGCCAAAGGCTACATTCACATGACCAGGTTGAAGTGGCAGAAATCTTTTTTTTTTCCCTAAAAGTTTTCTTTTTCCCTGAAGATTACACATAAATAACCTATACTAAATGGCTTTTTTGTAATATTTTAAATAAATCTGATGTTTTCAGAGCTGTGTGGACACACAAATTTCCAAATCAGATCTAAGCCACTTTTATATGTTGTCTCAGATCAGTTATGCTCATTTTGTATTGTTACTGCATATGTACCGTCATTTAGGGTTAATGTGGCAACAGCACCTAACCTGGTTAGTGCCAGTAAGTGGTGCAATAGCATAGCATCTCACCCTTCTTTACAATTATCTAACTCTAGTAATAAACAGCTGAGAGCTGTTCAGAGCAAATGATCTATGTGACACAGGCTTGTTAGTTTGTTCTTTACGAAAGTGGTTCATTCATGTGACATTATTGACGTTATTGATTAGGACATGCGCATGCAGGTTGTTTCAGGACACGGGTTCATTCACATTAATTGCAGATTCGAGTCACTTACGTATACAAATATGAAAGATCTGATCTGTGTGAAAATCAGAATTTAGCCATGAGGCTTGTAATGTGAATGTAGCCTTAATGTGACACAGATCTGATGTTTTCAGAGCTGTGTAAATGCGAAAACCTGATTATTTCAAATTACAGCTGAACTACTTTTATATGCGGTCCCAGATTGGATACATGTCCAATTCGTATCAATGCAACCTTGATAAGAACCATTGGATTGGAATGCATGTGTG